ATGCATAACAACTATGGAGTAATATTTAGCTTTTACTTGATCGAGAAATTTACACGCGGAAGAAAATTAGAGTGCTCAGAAATTAGAAACTTCCCGTAACATTTTTTGTTTAAGCACTTTTGCACAATACCTTTCATATAAAACATATTTATTCACACTTTCTTTTATTGTGTGTAAATTGTGTTTAAATGAAAATGTTGGTGTCTTCTTATCTGTCGAATGTTGATATCAAAGCCTGCTCAACTGCAGCAAGATAAAGTTATGCGTACTTTAACTTAAAGTGTCATGGCATTTAATTAGTATTTACTGAACAGTTATGCAAAGAATCAAGATCCTCCAGTGCAAAACGATTTTTGGCATCGCAAAGAATTTGTTAGCATTATAGCAACTATCAATTTATTACATCCCACGGTTCAGAGTCAGACAAAAGTTTTTCCCAACAAACGAGTAGCCTCAAGACTTATAGAAGCACAATTAATTAGTACGCTATTATTTAAATAAAATCTCGTTGTTTGTCTTTCGTATATCGAATGAACTTCCTATTTATTTCTGCCCATGATGGCTCAATTTTGTATTATACCTTCTTTCTAGTTTTTTTTTCTTCGTCGCCATTGTATCCGTAGTTTCTATAGTGAAAAATTTTCTTCTGTAATAAAAATATATTTTCTCATTCGTTTGAAGTTCTTACAATGCAGGGCTAATAATATATAAGATAACGCTGGGCATGTATTTTTTATGGGTTACTTCTGTATAAATCACGTTATAATGAAAAAAATACCATCAATATAATTGAGACCAGAAAAATTGAGGTTCGACCATAAATCGAATTGAATTCCAATTCACTCTTTTATATGGACTGGCGTTTCTTTTTACTTCCTTTTTGTAGTACAACTTTTCTGCAAAATTTGCAAAAGTTGATAATTTTTGCTCAATTTAAAATTTTTTATCATCAAATAAGTTATTCATGATCGAAGTTTTTCTAGTTTCCAGTTTTTGTTTTAATCGCTATATCACTTCCAGCTCAAACTTTCGGCCAAGCTTGAATAAATTTAGTGGACTACGTGTTCATCTCCTCAACTCCGTGCATCTCTCACTAAAATCGTCTGCGTGAAGATATTCGTTTTGGTATGTTATTATTAATAATCATGTTTTTATTATGTCTTCCAATTCATAATTCATCTTTGTATAAGATTCAAAATAGAATTATTTAATTAACTTTATTCCCACCTCAGTCTCTATCTACACTGTATACGTTCAAAGAAGATCATTGCTTCGTAGTCTCTACCTCAAGAGAACATTTAACAGAACTGACAAGTTTTTAAAGGCGGTTCTCAAGTCAACAACGATAAACGACTATAGTTTATCATTACACTTGACGGTCTTCATTAGTTACCAGTGACACAAAATACGCGTGACCAGACCTGCACGGTCACGCTTAAGCTATCTCGAAAAATGTGACGTTTTTTGAGCAACAGGTGGCACTGCTTCCGTCCTCGTATGTCTTTCTGCAACGACTGTAAATATTCATAAAGTGTTGGGTCACCTCGTTTTGCGTGACACTTGAGCGAAGCAGCAAATACCGCACAAAAACTTTGTGTCTGGCTCTTCATCATCGTCATACATCCGCATTCTGCATCCAAGCAATTATGAATTGTAAGGAAAAAAGAGTAAAATTCCAGAAAAAATAAATCTTTGACTCATAATAGTAGATCATGATGCCAGGTTTTAATTTAGTTTATATATCTATTGAATCATGAATTTTGAACACGTCAAAGATGAATATATTGCAGGCAAATCATCCATCATCAATAACTTTTACCATGAAATTTTTGCACTATTTCCTCAAGCACACTAACTTTGATCGCTTTATGCTTTAATGCATAAAATCTGTTTTTCACGCACCTATACTGCAGTTTACAACCACTTTCAATCAGTAGGTGTATCAGCAACATGAGACTTCAGCTGGCATCAAATTCGAAAAAAATTATGCACAAACAAATCTATTTGCGCACCAATTTATTAAATTCAATTACTGACTGTAGTTTGATAATATTTTCCCAGATAGGCCTACATTCCACACTTTCGTTGAGCTTAGGCGCATACGGGACGTTCGAACACCGGCGCGCAGCACGCGCAACCTGAGCGCCCCTCGTGCCACGCTTTGACGTTGTTAACGCGCCTCGAGGCACGCAGGCTTGCGAGACGCTCGGGCCAAGAGAACAACTAGCGCGAATATTGGCATGTTTGGGGACCATCGTTGGGAACAAAAGAGGGTATGAGGGTCTCAGGAAATAAGGTGACGTTAGATCGATCTACGTGGGAGTCCTCAAGTTATACAGGAGGTTATTTGTGACCATAAATTGCGTGTTTGGTTCATGCAAGTGGATTAAATTCCTTCGTCAATACCGAGATAGGGAAAAGGATGATAGGGAAAACTAGAATCGGATTTTAATAAGAATTTGAATTGGGCATAGCTAAATGATATAAAATTAGGTAATAATCCTTTGCACGGAAGTATTCAACTTTGATCACCCTACGCACTAAAAATTCAGACATGTTCTGAAATAAATATTTTGATGAACTTTCAGCATAGTTGTATACCATAAATTAAAACACAAGGGAATAGACGATAGCAGATTTCAGAGTCTTCAGAAAAAATAATTCCAGTAAATTTCTTATGAATATATACCGAGTGCTTGAGTTCCGTAGAGACCAACTTAATATTATTATAGCGCTAAAATCGTTCGATATTACAATTATCATGAATTGAAAATGATTGTCTAGTATATGAAAATTTGGATGATTGCGAAAAATGTACATTTATATACACTCGTGCGGTCGTTTTCTTTTCAATTCGTAGCGCTCCAGGTCGATTATACGCAACGTTCTGGTGCAAGTTCTGAGGGATGCAAAAAATTTTTTACAAATTTTTTTTCTGCGTTCGGGTGCAAAAATTAAGAACAATGACAAATTAATTATTTCAATCAATCAATATCCATTTCGCTTGAACCTCTAACAAAAATAAGGCAAGGAAACACTTTACAGAATTCTAAAGGTATCACGTAGATGTGGCGAATAAGTGATCGCAGATTGGGCTAAGACGATATATTCCCCCTCTAACTAGTGATGGAGCCTCCACCGCCGCGTCGTCTCAACGAGGCTGGCGGTATTTTGCGCGGTCATTAGCATCTCTCGTGCAACCTACAGTATTTGTCTCGCAGATGTAAACTTCAGATTATTCGCTTTGAAATAACTTCTCGATGGCATTTGTTTTCGTGAGGAAATAAGATCTTGTTTAATATAGATTGGTATGCAGGTTTTAGTGAGCCAAAAGGCTGCCGATCGCAGTATCACGTTACGCCTGCGTTCACTATAAGGCAGTGCCCCAAGTCCCCGTTTGATAATAGGCGATATCGGCAAAATATATTTAGGGGCAAGTACGATTAGCAATAAATATCCGGTCATTGAACTGCTGCACGATTGGCTTCCTGGAATTCCAGAGTCTCCATGATATTTCAGGCCTGAATTTACTACAATTTAACTTTATATCCGGTCGTAACGCGAGATATCGCAAACAAAGTACGCAATTATTCGTATCCATTTCATACTTTATCAATGCATGTGCTTATGTACTACAGGCCCATTACCTGTTTTCAATATTATTTTAAGTTCAATTGAAGCTTTTTACTCTGCATTTCGCGCAAGATATAATTTTATTTAATTAGGACTTCCTCAACGAGAAAAATATTTATAATGAGGGTCCATTCTGTAGTCCGCCTTCCGAACAATACCTTATCAATTAGACATTATTATTTCAAAATGAAAATTACGTTTATTTGATTCCACGCGTATGGTTCGAGTAAAGACTGGTGAATTAACATATTGAATTATTGTTGGCGAATACCTATTTCTCAACATATTAAAAACTGTTGTCGATTCTGCATCATATTAGAATGTGCTGCTCGAATATAGTGGCGCCACTGCTACACTCACATAGATTCTTTAATAGAATAATAAAAAATTTCAAATATTTGTACCGTATTGGACACATTTTTTATAATTTGCTTGCATTTCTCATCGTGGAAGTATACAATTGGGTTATGAGCGCATCTTAGGTTTACCCTGTTGATGACGCACTATTTCTCTATCATGACAGCCTGTCATTGTTTAGTATTCTTCGTTTTTCTACTAATAAATTTTAGTAAAACGGAAACTTTGGAGACAAAACAACAACAACAAATGACGCAAACTTGAATGATAGCTCATTTGCAAATATTTTTCAGGCAGCTGACTAAAAACGACTTGAGATAACAAAAAAAAAAACACAGACCGGATCAAAGATACAGTTACATCTAAGCGTTCGTACTGTGCTGAATACATACAAAGATACGAATTTCTGAATGGAAAACAGGTGAATGGAAACCATCGGCCTCTAACTCTGAATTGCTGTAGAGGGGTGTTTTTTCAGAACTCAAATAATGCAAAAGCGTTTTTTAAATGCTGCAATAATTTAGCTAGACATAACAAATATTCTATGCTTTGCACCAGCTCGCGGTTGAAGGTCATTTTTTTTACTTTAAGCTCGAAATTCCCACCGGTCTGTAGCAAACACCACAAGAACAACGAATTCACCACTTGATGTATGGAAAAGCCGCTTTTAAATTGTCCAATTGAAGCTCCTGAGAATCATCTCACGCTAGTGATTCGACTTCACTTTCACCAGACTGCGAGCAGTTGTTGCTTCACTTCATACAAATGAACTTGTTGCTTAAACTCTGCGTTTTGAATTTCACAAACGTTAACGAAAACTTTGAGGCTGATAATGCTTATGCCGCAATTGGAAAACTGAGGTTTAGAAATATTTGAAGTTGTTTTTTACAGTTATCGTGATTTGCAGATTTTGTTGGCATGTAAAAAAAATTTCATAACTTTGACACATATCAACTCCAAGCTGGGGTTCAGTGGGTTATATAAGTGGCAAATTCATGGCCTGAAACATCATTGACTTTCAGGAGTTGCAGAAGCAGACTACAGAAGTCAAAATGTTCTACAAGCTGGTGAGGAAATTGGAGATAGTTGTTATTTTAAATTATTTATAATACTTTGCAGTAGCAGAAATTTCATCTCCCCATCGTTGATCCTCCATTATAAGAGTTTCAATTTCTTGTTAGACGCTAAATTAGATTGATTGATTAGTATAAGATCGCTAGGAAATTAGTATAGATTAGCAGGAATAAGAGAAATTTTATTAGAATTATTATATTATTGTTATTATGTATTATGGTCATAGTATAAATTGAAAATTTTCAATAAGAAAATGGTCAATAAAACAAGTTCTCTGGTCTTCAATGAAACCTGCGTAGATTGCTAGGAACTTGACTAGTGATTATGTTTTACAATTATTGAGGTAATTCAGTCCAGAATTTACGTCTCATAAACAATGCGTTGTACGCATTATCGTGATTATGACATGAATCCAAAGGTTTGTAATAAAGTGAACCTAATTAAGTGAGCCAAATAGGACAGAGAGACAATACCCGTCAGGTATACTTGCATTAATTATGTATATTCTCTCTATCCATAAGATATTAATCAAATTAAGGTAATGGAATATATCCCAATTCTCATATTGATTCTTGATATTTGGCATCCTCACAAAACATATATATACGAGAATATAAAAACTAAAACGAGAATATAGTTGAAAAGTTTTAACGATAAATTATTATAATACCAAAACATATTACTGCGATCTGTTCTATTAACTCTGTGCCATTGAAACAAGAATTCTCTAAATTATCTATTTAATTTGCTGTACAGTTCGTGAGCGCCGTGCTGCTGGCTATCATAGCCATACTACCTACCTCGGCCGCTCCTGGATACTTCGGTGGTGGAGGCTTCGGTGGTGGAGGCTTCGGTGGTGGAGGCTTCGGTGGATATGGAGGTGGCGGTGGATATGGAGGTGGTGGTGGATATGGAGGTGGTCATGGTGGAAGAGGTGGATCGCTTATCGTCACCAAAGGAATTGCTCGACAGTACAGCGGCGGACACGGTGAGTTGTTCAACGTATTGAATGGAAGTGATTTTAATTCAATGCGCAACTTGTCAAGATGATTATTGTGTTAGTTCCGCTAGATGATTCAAAGCTTATTTGTCATGAATCAAATTTCAAGAACTAAAAAGCATGAAGACGAGTAAATAATGTTGTTTTCGAATAATAAAAGTGTGCAAAATTTATATTTACTTGCTGGAAACTCAAATGTTGGAAATAATTCGTAATGTCTGTTTATCGCGCTCTAATATTATATCAATTATTGTAAGCTAGTGTAAATGGGAATAAAATTTAAATTTTTATTAATTTATATTGCAGGGTACGGCAAGTAAATGGTTTTGAGTGGTTCACCCCTCACAACTGTCGCTGAATATTGTATGACGGTATAATATGAGGAATCAACTGATCAACCATATTAACATCGAGAGTCGTATTTGTCCAGCATTAAACATATTCTTTGTCATGTTCCATGGTTCAAATAAAACTGAGTACAATGTTGTGTGCCTATCTTTCAGTCCGTCCTGTCAGAACACATACATCAGTAACGCCAAAAGAATCCTCTAACGGAATATCGGAAGGATGTTCGCAAGCTGCAACGTCATGCACCAAGCTTATCCTGAATAGCAAATCCTACATTGCCCATCAGTTCTTAATCTCATTAACCTGAAGTGGTCTAAACTATGGACCGTCGCGAAGAAAATGCGAAAATTTACACTTAATTACGTACGATTTCACTAAGTTTATTTGGCTTCATTATTATTAAAATAGCTTTCACTAAATTCTTGAGAGAATTAAATTTGATCAGAAACTTCGCTAGTAGAAATATAACGAATCAAATTCTGCCGGCTACCTCATCTTACACAAGTCTTTTGAATCATATTAATAACTTGAGGATCTAAGGAACAAGCTATAGGGAAAGGATTGTGAAGGACTATTAAAGATATTTTGACCATTAATGATATATAAATAAAACTACAATGATAACAAGAGATAATTTTATCATCTATATGCCGTTTGAATATGTTTTGTCCAGCAAGTACAAGGAAATTTTTCTGGGAAAGGAATTGTCATTCCATGAATTTATTTCGGTACCAAAATTATGCTTTAAATAGCAAATTTAATTCGAAATTTCTGGATGAAAAGATTTCGCGGATTAAAAAATTTAATAAATTTTCAATTGAACCGCAGAAGCCCATTTGGTTATAGCTGCTCGACATGTTTCGCAGTATTTATGGATGCATCTCTGCCATTTTTACATTTTTATGCATCTCATTTTTTACAAATTAAACACAAGTTTTGTTTAAATTTTCATTTTATCAAGTAAACACTTCCTGAAAGTCTATATTCGTTGCTCTAGTTGTGACAATTGGAGTTTTGGCACGGAAGCTCGCAAGCCAGAAACCTACTATAGTGAACAGAAACTATGACGTAAGTCTCTCCTTTTATTCTCAGAGCAACCGCTATCGCAAATCCAAGATGCAGCAGTTTTGTTAAGAGCGCGATGACACTTTCTCTTTGCATTGAAGTCTTCAGTATAAAACTGAAGCGCCAGAGCGATAGACAGTCTACTTGTCTTCCAGCTAGAGGCGACTAGTCGCGAAATGCTGAAGATGGTGAGCAGTCTTCCGTTTATGGGGAAATATGCTATAAAGCAGCTGGTATTTATGTATTTCTGTATTACAATTTCAGTCATAATAAACTGAAAGGCAATTATGGTAGAGAAAATTTCGTGGAAGGGATGCATATTAAAGAGTCTAAGTAAATCTTCATTCATTATGTCCAGGAATAATGCACAGGGCTGTTAAATTTTCTCGTTTTGTTTCGTATTCTGTAAATCATTAGTTAATTAATTTCCAATGAAATAATCGTAGACTTGATTTGTGCGGCATAAAGCACGCAACCATCAACAACTAGAATTATCATACATCAATCGTTAGCATTCCACAGCAAACAATTTTGTATATGCACTCATTCAAAACACAATTTTTATTCAAACATGAATTATAGTTAATTATTCTCTAACCTGCGCACAAGCTTTCCAATAATTTTTAATTGTGTTGCGAATCTTCGCACCTTTCAGTTGATTCCCGTGGCGAGTTTAGTTTTGGCTCTCGTGGGAGCGGTGGCGGGCGCTCCCGGGTTCAAGTTTTCAGGCGTCGGCGGCTGCTGCGGCAGCGGTATCGGCTTCTCGGGTTTGGCGGGCGGTGGATCATACGGCGGCGGTGGTGGTGGTGGACATGGTGGAGGAACCGTCACGGGCGGATATTTCGGGGGATTTGGAGGCGGCTATGGTGGATTTGGATCTTCTGCAACTGCAGCGGGAGGAGGCGTTTATGGAGGAGGTGGAGGAATTGGCTGTAAGTTCTTCGGTTTGATTTTTTTATGAATCATCAAACTTTTTACGAATTTACAGAAAATAACATGTACTTCATTTTTTCTGGTAGATATTCGTATATCTGAAGTCATTACTTACCTGATACGAATATTTATCTGAAGTCATTACCTATCTGCTCTCAAGCTTCCATTTCATGATAATCCCTGGTTTGGTAAGAAAATTTCCAAAGATTACATTTCATTAAAAGAATAATCAAGCTTTGATAATTTAACATTCATGCTCAAAACACGACTATTCTTATAATTTGGCATCAAGTATTTCAAACCCCAACATCATTAAAGAATTAAAGTTTTATCACTAACGCTGTTAACTAAGGATATTTTTTTTCTCATTGCAGCTCATTATGGGAAATAGTTCGTCAACAAATGAGGCTACAACTTGGCCTAAGTCTAGCACGTAGCGAAGGGACAATATACAGTTTAAGCAGCACTACGACCGGATGACCTCTCTTATTCGACAGTCCTCTCCGCTTACCACGAAATTCTTCATTGCGTCGTGCATCCCTGGGGTAAAAAAATTGCGTCATGCGTAGTCCGTAGCAAAAAAAAAACTTAATATAGAGTTCTATTTGGTGATCCTGACCTCAAAGTCTTATTTTTTAGTTTATTTATAAGATCTCACTGCGAAAATCGGACTTCCTCCGACATTCCCAGAAATTTGGATCCTCCGATATATAACTCTAAAAAAACATAAAAGTTATTGAGCGTATCCATGGCCTGTCAATTCATTTCTCAGGTTTGATTATTCACTGTTTAAAATCGTTAAACATTTCTTTCCTCAATAAAAGGTACCACAACAATTGATAAATTTCTGTACCCTTCTAGCTAGGAGTCTGGTCTTCAGCTACGAGCTGCATGAAATGGACATTACAACCATGTTTTGTCAATTCAAAAAATGCAATCAATGGCCAACATTTATCAAAGAAATCACGTGATGAAACCCCCTTCATATTCAGGAATTATAGTAATATATAAATTTTTATCATATAAACTTGCGATTGGAAACTGAACTTTTACTATTCTACACTGCGGCTATTTAAAAATTAATCTATTGGAACAGCCACGCATTTAATGTTCTAGTTATTTAACCCCCATTTTGCGATACATTTTGACATCTGCCAAAATGAAGAATCAGTTCATTTCACAACGCGATGGGAAATGTGAACTCCTGCTCGATTAGCCATAAATTATAAATAGTGCACGATTCTTTTTGGCCCAGAATGAGCCAAAAAACACACGCATGCGTGCGCACAATATAAGATTTATGTAAAAAATAATTTTATCGTAGCCTAAAAGACCATGAATTATCATCTGATACCAGCTCTAGTTATTTGGTAATCTCACATAAATTTATAAAATTAAGCAGAATTATTTTTTGGTAATTCTACAAAATTTCAGTTGCAATTAATTCTGCAAATTTAAGTCAAATGATAACCCTCTTGTACAAATATTAGTGCTATTCTACGAAACCGAAATATTAGGTTTTCGCTCAAAATTTGTGGTTGAATAACTTTTCGATAATTGAAGAAATTAAAATTAATGCGTAGCTGGGAGCATAAATAGAACCACAGGACCTATTTTGAATTTGACATGTATCAATTTTCCACTGTGATATTATTTACAAATAATAATTTTTTACAACATTAATTGATTTACAATAATTCCTCGTGGCAAATATATTATCTTTGAGGTGCATTACACTGTTCGAAGCCGAGGTTTTCCCTTTATACGGTATAATTTCTGAATATTCTGTGAAATGGGCTAATTAAATATTAATGTTGCGCAGAAAAATTGCTGCACTAGTCTAGGGTTTACAATAGAGAAACTGTTCCTTATAGATACTTTAGTTGTTGTTTTTATGCACAATAAGACGCTGGTAGAATGTCTACATTCATCCAGCGTCCAAAACTGCATGGAAGTCATTGCATAACTTCGGTTCCATTTGAATCAAAGTAACGTGAAATGGCAACTTGAGGCTCCTCTCTCGCTTGACATAAGTTAGACACTGTTGTGGAAAAATGCTTGTCTTGCGGTGGTGACTAGCAGCTTTTGCAGTCAAAAGAAAATATTTCATAACTTCTGTTTCACCAAACCCTGAGTTTTGGCTCAGTGTCTTATATAAGTTGCGAATTCATCGCCTGAGACGTCATTCCATTGGAGGGGACGCTGCTGCAGACATCAGAAGCCAAAATGTTCTTCAAACTGGTAAGGAAAGTGAGAAATTTAAATGTTTTTTAGCGATTCAAATCAATTATAGAATGTAATTTCTACATACAATTTACTACTTGATAATTTTGCAAAACAAAAGAAAAATAAATTATTTAGGGCCAAAGAACCAGAAGTCATATCATATCATCTATCATAAAAGGCAAACTAATCTTGATTGATAAGATCGTTATTACGATAGTTGAATGGAAAATAATTGTTATGTTATAGGAGTAACGAATTTAAATGAAATAGAATTATTGAGAATGAATGAGCAACAGCTCGAATAATGCTGAAAAATATTTTGAATGCACCTTCCCGCGACTAAATTCTTACAGTCACGAAAGAAGCATAACAAATAAAAAAAGGATATTCATCAGAGTTTTGAAATTATTTAACATTGCGCATTCATACATTTAACATTCATGTTATGCAATTAGAAAGAATTGCAAAATATGAATAGCTTACACTTTAAAAACTTCAAATGAGTTCATCACACACGTGAAATTAAGTACAGTACACTTATTCAAAGGGAACGCTCATAACTAATAACTTTATATATACATATAATTTATAACTACAAAACTGTTCACATTTATCGTTTAAAGAATTGCAGTTGCAGGTTTATTGTTGAAATATTTCCAAATAATTATATCTTGAGTTCCCTGTTGCCGCCTGTACAGTTCGTGAGCGCCCTGTTGCTGGCCATCCTAGCCATACTGCCTGCCTCGGCCGCTCCTGGATACTTCGGTGGCGGAGGCTTCGGAGGAGGTGGTGGATACGGAGGTGGTGGTGGATACGGAGGTGGCGGTGGATACGGCGGTGGTGGTGGTGGATATGGAGGTGGATTCGGTGGAGGTGGTGCATATGGTGGTGGCTTTGGACCAGGACTCAGTGGGGGAAGTGGATCCATAATCATCACCACTGGAATAGCACAAGGAGGTGGCAAGCACGGTGAGTTGCCATCGAATTTCTGATAGCGGACAAAAAATACCTTCCTTGATCACGAACAAATTAAAAAAAAATGGGAATGCTTAGTATTTAGCATGTAGAAATTTAAAAAGAATATAGGAGATCAATGGAGTTTTTAAATAGAGTCTGAAAAACTGATTTACATTATTTTGAGAAGGTACCATTTCTCGTGCATTGTCGAACACACCAACTTATATCAATTTCACAATATGAAATAGCAGTTCGTAAACCTATAATAATCTCGTAGAAAGGGTGTTATTATATATATTATATTACAGCCCTAATATATTATTATTAGGGGTGTAACAACTATTTCAGTAGCTCCAGTTCTCAAATTCCATATTTCGATTTCGATTACATTGAAACTTACCGTCTGTACTTTATGTTTCAGGGTACGGCAAATAGAATGTATCTAAGAGTCCACTCCGCACAACATCGTAAGAAGTCTTCAAAACATTAATTGTGGTGGCAAATATTTGTAAATAATTCTGCCATTAGAGCTGAAGACAATAATTATTCTGGATTCAACATTGTTGTTCTACGCCCGTCATTGTTTAATAAAAATTGACAATTATTATTGTTCGCTCTACGTTAATATTCCTATAGATTAGCTGAACACATTAGCTGTGAAACAGTATGTATGATGAATGAGGTGAGAGGTCAAGAAATCTGTGTGGGAAACTGTTAATAATTTTCAGCTTCATTTTCGTCGATTCTTCTACTGCCTTCAAACACACTAACACATGGGCATAGTATTATGGAAAGAAAACGTTGCAAGGTAGAAGGGAATGAGATATTAAGCATACGAAATATCATTGTGAATTGGCACCTACTTCCCGCTCAGGCACAATGAAAACACCGCATTAAAGATTGTTTAGAATCCCAACCACATGAGACCGCTGCAAAACGAACGCGACCTGCAAGTAGTGGCACATATGATTATTATGATTTCACATTAGAAATTCACAATGAGCGCTATACCTGCCAGTATATACATAGGTGATCATAATGGTTCCATATTAGAAGTTCACAATAAACGCTACCTGCAAGCATGTACATAATCGATTATAATGATTCAATTAGCTGGACACAATTAATAAAAATACCAGCAGATATAGTTGCCTGAGTGATTCAGAGTCTGAACTCGCCGCAGTCGGGGAGTCAACTTCAGGTGAACATATGTCATGCCCCAACGATCGCACCAGCGCAGCCCCACAGCAAAAATGAAAAACAATTACAACATTAGTACAAGAGAAAACTTCCGAGGCCACCGTCGCGGTCGGATGAATCTTCCGCAAACTGCGGGCATGTGACTTATACTCTCGTCATTGACGGCATTGGTCGACCCATGGTTGAATTAATTGTATTAATTCAAACATGTCGACCTGTTAGCGAAGATGCCTGCGCCGAACGGCCTTCGTCATTGCGCGAATGATGAAGCCGAATGATGAGCTCAATTGGACTATAGGTTATAATGGAGCTATTTCGTGCAGGAATTCAAACACGAAAACTCGCTTGTTATTTGATTTAATTGTATTCGTGGTGTAAACACATATGAATTCCGCAAAGTCATAATATCGATATTATTTCATTGCAATTAAATGACCATATTTTAATCTGTCACGTTAATCAGGATAAAAAAAAATAATAAACAGTCTAAACTCAGATCTTAATTATCGTTCAAAAAAGGCCATGGTAATTGAAACCTGTCATGTAACGCAATATTAAATTTATTATTTTCATAATGGACAAATGAAACTAGTCAAAAAAATATTTAGCGAGCGCTCAATAAATGCAGAACGATTTCTCGCAAATTCAAGGACCGTACGTAGGCAACTACCACAACATATATGGCGATCAAAATTTTTTGGGAGTTTCGATCGAAACATTTTGGGCAAAGACGCGAGAAAAAAATTCTACATGAATTAATTATGGATTTAGAAGAATTAATGCTGTCAGCAAAAAATGCACTATTTATTGATGCAGGTACCACATTGAATTGTATTTGTCTCCATATATATTTTTTTGTGCAAATTAACCAGACAAAAATAAGGAAAAAATTTCACTATTTTCCTAAGACGTTTGAGCCCAATTAAGTTTCGGTATGTAAATTTTGGTTGAATTTCCTATTATTTATTTGCCAAAAGAAAATTGTGCCTTGTTTTTGAAAAATTGTGTCATTCTCTTGTAGATTAAATTTGAAATGGCATCACGTCAAAAAGGCAAAATAGAAGATATCAAGTGAACTTACGGCTGCTGAATTGCGAGTTTAACTTCATTACATTTGAAGTGCAGTGAATGGTTTACACTATACAATTAAATATACGACTAGAAATGTTACATGTTTTAATCGTTGAGCCACTTGATCAAAACAGGCCGATTGTCCAACCACATGCATCCACTTTGTAAAGGAACATTAAATACGAGGTATTAAACCGGTAGAATTTTCTTTAAGTGTCTCTCGTTTTAATGCATGCAAAACAGTTTATAAATTTCCATTTTATCGGAACAGGTAATTTAAATAACGACTCCATCGTAAATGGTGACCGTTGCGAAAACACTTTGTTATTTATTTATTACTAGCAGGCTAGTCTGGCGCTTACGATTCTGAAATTTTGAAATGCTATAATCCCTAATCTATTTAATAATAATGTATTATTATTATTATAACGTCTATTATGTATTATAATTGAATAGTGATTCCTTCAAACGTAACTTTTACACAAGAAATACTATACTCCCATTCACTCTCGTTCCAAAATTTAGAAAAAAACTTATTCAACGTCTTTTGGATTAAATATATACTTGACAATCGCAAAATAAAGTTTTAATTTTGAATTCATAATTTTCCTATTCTCATTTAATCCTCTCTTTTGCTAAAATTTTAAATGAAATTTAATGTCTTGGTAGAGTATCCTGGAAACGCGCCCACACAGCCCCTTTGTAAATGTAGTGCCAGACGTCGAACAAGTTTACATAAGAATATGTATGTTGATATGAAACGGCATGTATTATTACAATAAAAAGTTAAGTACTATTATGAAACATCGGGCTCAAATTAGCTATTACATTGATATATTGCAGCATCAGGGAGAAAAGCCTGATGGAATTGTTGGTGCCATATTGGACGGCTCCTTTAGAAGCTCATGCTGCGGGTAATAGTGATGAGAGCGTGGTGTGATGAGGGTGATGGTGAGCGTGGTGTAGTTAGTGTGATGGTGAGCGTGGTGTAGTTAGTGTGATGTTGAGCGTGGTGTGATGAGTGTGATGGTGAGCGTGGTGTGGTGAGTGTGATGGTGAGCGTGGTGTGGTGAGTGTGATGGTGAGCGTGGTGTAGTGAGGGTGATGGTGAGCGTGTGTGGTGAGTGTGATAGTGAGTGTGGTGTGGTGTGGTTACAGTTAATTGAGTAGCACAAATAATTTTATATAAACCCTATTAATTTGAACCCTTAATTTCAGGCAATCCTATTAAATGTGAAAAGCGAAGCTTTTTAGCGTTGCAATACTCAAGGTGAAAACTATTGGGCAACGTATGAACTGATGCTCGTGAATGGAAGGCACCGAATGATTAAGATCTATTTCGTAACCGCTAGGTTCTACTTTTGATCAATTTGAGACAGATTTTGAAATATTATGTGTTTCACTTAGCTGGCCGTTGGTATAAGGATGCGGGAAACATGCAAGACAATGAATTATTGAAGAAAAAGGCATTGAAATCATCGAGTTTCTGAGGAATTGTCTCACGCCCGTAGAATGACGGATATACTGTATGGATGTTGTTGCTCCACTCCGGTTTGAGTAATTTTTGTGCCGAGAGTCTTAGTAACGTGGAACATGAACTTAAAATCAGCTTTTTGCGTTTGTTGCATAAAGCATTACGACACTTATGTGTAGAAATACTCTAGTTGTCTCGTACGAATATCGTGATTTGCAGCTTTTGCATGTAATTAGAAGCATTCATGGCAGCTATGCGCCTGGGTTGTGGCTCGTTGGGTTATATAAGTGGCGACTTGGTCACTTGAGACATCATTCACTTGGTGGAGTTACAGCTGTTGCATTCAAGAGACAAAATGTTCGTCAAGCTGGTGAGTGAAGAAAAATTTACTCGGGCTATAGAGCGTATGTTAAATTTTTAAGTGAGTGAATTAATTCACAGATCGAAATATTACTTGATATGTTGTTTGTATGTTTGCCTCGGAATTATTTTCAAAGAAATGAAAGCTATTATGACTGTTAAAAAATATAATTTGAGAACCCTGAATTTGCACCGTTTAAATGAAATTTTTTAAGTTTCCATGTATAGGAGAAATGTTGCTCTACCATGTAATAAAATCCTGCGCGACGCTACTGCAAATAATACAAACCGAAGAGAGCTGAAAAAAAAGAAGTACACTATTTTTAAGGAGAGAAAACGTGATAATTTACGATATGCAGAATTTTAATATTTTAAATCATCATTGATATAAATTGTTTGAAACGAGTTTATGATAACACCCTAATATATCGTTGGCAAGTTTCATAAATATTTCCTACGTAGGTCAACATGTGGCAGCGCCCCCCCCCTCCTTTTTAAACTAAAATTTTGATGAAGTTTTAATTGATACGAGGTGGTTCTTTGTTTTGTTTAAAGGTAAAACTAATGTCGAATGTATGATGTGAATTAGATGCCTATAGAGTTATTCAATTTTTAATGAAACACTATTTTGTATAAAGTGTCAAGATGGGCCCATTGCCCCACCCCTGGGGCAATGGGCGCCCACCCTTGGACCCTTTACCACAATTGCATATTTTTCGTTTAAAAATGATAAAATAACACTTTACAGTTAAAAATAAGCAAAATGTGATAAAAAATATGGCATTCATTCATTTATTAACAACTCAAAAAATCATATCCTTAACTTGAAAAAATATACTCTTGGCTTAAAAAATTTATTACTGACGTGAAGAAAAATATTTCATTGACATAAAAATATATATCCTTGACTTGAAAAATAGATCCTTGCGATAGAAAATTCGTCCTTGACGTGAAAAAATTTATCCTTGAATAGAAAAAATATATTTAGTTGATCAGAATAAACTTCGTTTCAGTTTCGTCCCTAATCCAGATATTATGTGCAGAGAATTCTTACCTAATCGTGATTTCAGCCAACACCATAAAAACTCGTCAACTTTTGGCTCATTGGTGTTGACTGAAATCAACTTTTGGCAAGGCAAGAGTCAATAACTCGATAAGGGGTCATAAATACGCATAACTAGAAAATAAACCTGCTGCCTTGAGGCGGCAAATAAAAAAAAATTATGCAATATGAAGAGTAATTTGTAATTCAAAAAGCTAGTCATAGTTTTGAAAAGGTCATTGAGACAAATCTGATGATGTATAACACAAGATTTCACCATGGGCGCTTTGCCCCGTGACACGCGTGGGCCCATTGCCCCACTAGGTATCATTTCAATTTATATCGTGTCAACATTTTATTTTAAAAGCTAATAGTCTAAACTTGATATCAAAATTATCCCCATAAATACGTATTACTTTCAAAGTACAATTCACAGTAATTTCAAAAGCTTCATCTACAGTAATCGAAAACAGTTTTATTTAGCAGCAGAAAAATTTTTATCTGGGCTAAAACAGTTATTCACAAATAACTTAATAAGGCAAACACTTAGCAAAACATAAATCCGTGAACTTCATCCTAGTGAAACTGTCGACCGGCGGTAGAGGACACGGCCCAATATCTGCCATACTTAGCGAGAAACCCGCAGTGGGCTCGCTGCCCCATGTTACCCTATAAAAAATGGCTGGAATATTTTCCATTTATTTTGCAGTTCGTGAGCGCCGTGCTGCTGGCTATCCTAGCCATACTGCCTGCCTCGGCATCTCCTGGATACTTCGGTGGCGGAGGCTCCGGTGGGCGCGGTGGATATGGAGGAGGTGGTGGATACGGTGGTGGTGGATTCGGTGGTGGTGGATTCGGTGGTCGTGGATACGGAGGTGGTGGTGGATTCGGAGGTGGTGGATATGGGGGTGGTCGAGGATCCGGCGGCAGACATGGTGAGTTAATTACACATAATTAGTAATTTCGCACATTGTAATTTGTCAAAAACGTTGTTTATCAGAGCAGGTTGAAGTAATTTTTGCTGCTAAATCCACCAATAAAAAGTATTTATTAAGCAAGCCGTTTCTGATATGCATATGGCAGGATCTTCACCTGCGCCCCGATGTAAAACACAAAGAGACCTGCATTTTACCTGTCGAAAATAACCGCAGAGGTCAGAAAATGATCAGTACATAGAATGCTTGAATGAATTCAGTCTTTGATGGGTGGTATAGTATCCAGTATCTTAAATAGTTTAAGAACTCACCTCGCCTAAGCTAGCGTTCGCAGAGTCGCTAGGAACGTAACGAACGTCAACATATTTTTTTGATGGGGCAGCGAAATTTTGTCTATATAGCGACACACTATCGGCCTATAGCTCTGCAACGCCTTTCTGTCCAATCGGACTGAGGCAGAATGACTACGCGTACAGAGCAAACGTGCGGCACTATGCGGACAAAGCTTTACACATTTCTTTGAGTGATGAATAGCGCTGTGAAGTATGCTAATAACAATCTGTTACTTCATCATTACTTGTAGCGCGGATATTCACAGCAATTTTTTCCCACTCCAGGATACGGCAAATAAAATCTTTGGACGAGCCAACTCCTCTCAACGCCGCATGTCTCCTCATAATAAAGGGAATGACGTCAATTGATTGAATTCAGCGGTTGAAGATGAAGGATAGCATGAATTGGGAACGGGACATGTATCACATGTTCAACATTCTCTCTCGTCTTACAAGATTGAATAAAAAGTATCAATTATTATGTGTGTAATCATTTTCTTTGGTTTTGTTTTGGCTCACGTGCCTCATCTATGTCGAATTATTATGGAGATCGAGATCAATACCCGAGTAGATAATGAGTTACATACTACACAAGAAATAAGTTTTCTGAGAAAATATGACATCTGAAACGGTCCCGTCATCACATGGGATAGAAGAATAAGTGAGGTTCTCTTTTTGAGATATGAAGTTTATTTGAACGTTGTTGAGACTAGTATATATTTGACCTCTAGAGACCAGTAAATTTGATGAATGGGTTTCCTTATATCTATATGTCTGTTACCAAAAGCTTTAAGTTACAAACAATATCTCCGAGTACCTAAAAATGTGATTAGGTTAAAAAACAGTGCGTATTTTCAGTGGGGAGAATTATTGAATTATTTCTTAACGTTTTCAAGTTTAAGTACAGCTGGAATTGAACAATGTTCATCTTATTAGTTTTCAACTGAACACAAGCAATTTCTGCTTGTGAACACGATCAAACGTTAGGAGACTCAAATATATTATACCATTGAACATAAAAAAAATTACTGAGCTTGTTAATATAATCTTAAACTGAACACAAGCGATATCTTCTAGTTAACGCGATCAAACGATAGGAGACTTAAATATATTATACCCTAGAATAAATAAAAAATTACTGGGCATATTACTATAGTCTTCAACTGAACACAAGCAATTTCTGCTTGTGAACACGATCAAACGATAGGAGACTTAAATATATTATACCTTAGAATAAAAAAAAGTTACTGAGCTTATTACTATAATCTTAAACTGAACACAAGCGATATCTTCTAGTTAACGCGATCAAACGATAGGAGACTTAAATATATTATACCCTAGAATAAATAAAAAATTACTGGGCATATTACTATAGTCTTGAACTGAACACAAGCAATTTCTGCTTGTGAACACGATCAAACGATAGGAGACTTAAATATATTATACCTTAGAATAAAAAAAAGTTACTGAGCTTATTACTATAATCTTAAACTGAACACAAGCGATATCTTCTAGTTAACGCGATCAAACGATAGGAGACTTAAATATATTATACCCTAGAATAAATAAAAAATTACTGGGCATATTACTATAGTCTTGAACTGAACACAAGCAATTTCTGCTTGTGAACACGATCAAACGATAGGAGACTTAAATATATTGTATTTTAGAATCTAAAAAAAAGTTACTGAGCTTATTACTATAATCTTAAACTGAACACAAGCGATATCTTCTAGTTAACGCGATCAAACGATAGGAGACTTAAATATATTATACCCTAGAATAAATAAAAAATTACCGGGCATATTACTATAGTCTTGAACTGAACACAAGCAATTTCTGCTTGTGAACACGATCAAACGATAGCAGACTTAAATATATTATACCTTAGAATATAAAATAATATGCGTTTAAAAATTACTTTTTAAAGACAACACTTCTGAACAATCCAGTGTCTTGGATGTTACACATGTACAATGAATTTCTAATTTTATTTTCAAATATAGAAAAAAAATTATTTTTCAAAATTTTTTTAAGATATCAAAATTTTGTAAATTTTCAAAATTATTTATTCTGTCAATTGATTCATGCATTGTCTCTGACTTTATGCAATTGTGCAAAATTTCAGATCAATTGGCCAGGTCAAATTGTGTCATATATGGATTATAAGATTTATAGCAGACGAAATTATTTTTTAATTTTTTTTAATAATGAGAAAAAAAATTTTAATTTATAAAATTATATATCCTGTAAATTGATTCATGCATTGTCTCCAACTTTACGCAAGTGTGCAAAATTTCAGTTCGATTGGACAGGTAGAAGTGTGTTAAATATCGTTTATAAGATTTGTAGCAGACAGACAGACAGACAGACAAACAAACAAGAAGTGAAGTTAAAGAGAAGTCTTGTAAAGTGAACCCCTGCGCTTCAAACAGACATTCAAGTAAGAATAAACAGCGCTGGCCAAGCAAAATGATAAGTTGGTGAGCAGTCGTTTGTTACGGAGAAAATGTCAATAAGAAGCTCGTGAAATCTGCGTTTAATGCTCATTTCTTAAAAATGAATCATGACCATAGAAGTAAAATAAGTTTCAATAAATTTTGCGACACGTTAATAGAAACGTGCGATTTATACACTGCGTTTCTAGCAAAATATAAATTTTCCAGAAGGATTAATTGGGCTGACGTGATCACTTGCGTGTTGCAGCGACTATACAGGGTCATCAATATTTAGCGTTACATTGCCTTTTTAAAAATCAATACACTCGCAAAACAGTCAAATGTGTCGTATGGAACCATGTCGACTGTTCTCCGGAAGGACCTAAAGTTGTCCCCATTCAAGCATGTCAAAAAACACCAACTGTCTGCTCAAGTTGTTGACAAACGCCTCCAAAAATCCAAGATTCTTCTTTCCCGCATTCATGATGGCACGTTGTCAAACCTCGTTTTCAGTGATGAGAAGATATTCAATGTTGAACACCACTTCAACTCCCAAAATGATCGAATTTGGTCGAAGAATGGGACGAAGGATCCCGTGTGGTGACTAGTAAGCAATGCCCGACCTCAGCGATGGTCTGGGCAGCCGTAACACAGTCCTCAAGGAGTCCCCTCTTTTTTGTTGACAAAGGGGTGAAATTGAATCAGAAGAACTATAGAGATGCCATCCTTGTTGGTGCATTGTTGCCCTGGGCACGAAAGCACTAAAAAAACGCCCCTGGTCGTTCCAGCAGGACTCTGCACTATCCCATGGGGCCAAATCGACTCAGGAGTGGCTGTCCGAGAATGTTCCCCACTTCATTACCAAAGATGAATGGCACCCATCGTCACCCGATCTGAATCCTCTGGATTTTGGGATCTGGTCATACCTTGAGAGCAAGGTCTCGACCGTTCACCATAGCAGTTTGGACGCCCTAGAGGTCAAACTGCTGAAGGAGTGGGCCAAAATCCCGCAGTGTCATTCGTGACTCGCGTAAGGCTTTCTCTAAGCGTCTACAACTCGTTATTGATGCAGATGGTGGACATATTGAATGAAATTGTGGGAATTGTATCTCTGAACCTCTGCCTACATAAATACATTTTCAAACATTCACATTTGTGTTTCATTTCAGAGTTCTAACCACTCAAAATTAAGTTGTAGCGCTAACTATTGATGACCCTGTAAGTAAAAGATTAAACAATATCCAGTATTTTGTTTAATGCGTTCACCACGGGACAGCTCAGTCAATAACTATTGGATAGATAAGACGTAGACCAAAGGGAAGGATGCGATGCCGAAAATTTGCAGTCCAATTTTCGTAACTTTAGGGGTATTTTAAGGTAGGTATCTACAGTGTGAATTTCGTAGCATTTTTATACGAGCTATAATAATACCCTTTTTCTGAAGTGAAACTAAATCCAAAAATTTTGTGGCTATGGAGGTTTTGAATTTCGCAAGGAGTAAAGGTCCTAGTTTAACGTGACGTGCAAATGAGTGCCAGGTTTTCCACCAGCATGGCAAGAACCACTGAACGACAAGGCGGATTTATTCAAGAGACTAAATGTGCATTGTAATACACTGCGGTGGTTGATCAGTTCAGTAACCGTTGTTATAATGATACGATGCTGCGTGTGTAGTTTGACAAGAACTACACACTTGTGGTGCAATAAGTGTGTATAGAACTTGTGGTGCAATAAGTAGATGAAAATATCGTTATTTCTCTTCTTCGAAATAATCATTTAATGAATGAATATGAGCGTAATCTACTCCCTAACTCAAAATAAATTCAATACAACAAATAATAAATCACCCTAATATATCTATATAAATCCCATCAATTAAAGAAAACGAATTAGCCATTAAGTTGAGGCTACCTCATTCAAATCTAAGGAAAATAGAATTTTAGCGTTGCAATACGCAAGGTGAAAACTGTGGGGTAACGTTGACTCGTTTTGATGGAATGCACAGGATGGAATACACTGCAAGATTCGGATTAGTTACGCAATCGCTAGTTTGAGAAAGATTTTTAAATATTACATAGGAGTATTTCACTGTGCTGGACGTTGGTCAGCACGTTGGAAACATGCGAGACACCAATGCATTGAGAAAAAAAAAACATTGAAATCGTCGAGTTTCTGAGGAATTGTCTCACGCCCGTAGAATGACGGACACTACGCAAGTTGTTGCTCCATGTCGGTTTGAGTAATTTTTGCGCCGAGATTCTTAGTAACGTTGAACATGAACTTAAACTCTGCTTTTTGCGTTTGCTGCATAAAGCATTACGACACTTAAGTGTAGAAATACTCTAGTTGTCTCGTACGAATATCGTGATTTGCAGCTTTTGCATGTAATTAGAAGCATTCATGGCAGCTATGCGCCTGGGTTGTGGCTCGTTGGGTTATATAAGTGGCGACTTGCTCAACTGAGACATCATTCACTTGGTGGAGTTACAGCTGTTGAATTCAAGAGACAAAATGTTCGGCAAGCTGGTGAGTGAAGAAAAATGCATCAGGGCTGTTGGGCAAATGTTCAATTTTTTCTCGGTTCACTTTATGACAAGAATTAACAGGATTTATAAGCGTAAAAAGATCCATTTATTCTGAATGATTTTGGATGTTTTCCTTAGAATTAATTTCAAATAAATGATTGCTATATCGACTAGGAAATATACGAGTATATTATAAGAACCACGAATTTGCATTGTTTAAATGAAAATTTCTAAGTTTCAATTTTTACGGGAAATGTTGCTCTACCATGAAACAAGATACATGTAAGACGCTACTGCATACAATGCAAACCGAAGTGAGCTGAAAAAGTACACTATTTTTCAAGGAGATAAATTTCACGTAGAATTTAAGTATCTGAAATAAACATTGAAATAAATTGTCAGATACGAATTAACGATAACACTCGAATAAATCGTTGACAATTTTAACAAATATTTTCTACGCATAAACAAAAAGCTTGAAATATTTTCCATTTATTTTGCAGTTCGTGAGCGCCGTTCTGCTGGCTATTCTAGCCATCCTGCCTGCCTCGGCATCTCCTGGATACTTCGGTGGCGGAGGCTTCGGTGGGCGCAGTGGATATGGAGGAGGTGGTGGATACGGTGGTGGTGGATTCGGAGGTGGTGGGTTCGGAGGTGGTGGATATGGGGGTGGTCGAGGATTCGGCGGCAGACATGGTGAGTTAATTACACTTCATTAATAATTTCACACATTATAATTCGTTAAAAACGTTGTCTAAGAGCTTTGTCTAAGAGCTGGTTGAACTAATCTCTCGTTGCAAAATCGTCAATAAAAAGTATTTATTAAGCAAGCCGATTCTGATATGCATGTGGCAGGATTTACTCCTGCGCTACGATGCAAAACACAAAGAGGCTTGTATTTTGCGTGTCAAAAATAATCGCAGAGGTCAGGAAATGATCAATACATAGAATACATGAATGAATTCAGTCTTTGAACGGTGGTATAGCATCCAGTATCTTAAATAGTTTAAGAGCTCACCTCGCCTAAGCTAGCTTTCGCAGAGTCGCTAGGAACGAGACGAACGTCAACATATTTTTTTGATGGGGCAGCGAAATGAACGGGATATTTTGTCTATGTAGCGACACACTATCGGCCTATAGCCCTGCAACGCCTTTCTGTCCGGTCAGACTGAGTCAGAATGACTACACGTACAGGGCAAACGTGCGGCACAATGCGGACAAAGCTTTACACATTTCTTTGAGTGATGATTAGCGCTGTGAAGTATGCTAATAACAATCTGTTACTTCATTATTGGTAGCGCTGATATTTACAGTAGTAATTTTTTCCACTCCAGGATACGGTAAATAAAATCTTTGGACGAGCCAACTCCTCTCAACGCCGCATGTCTCCTCTTAATAAAGGGAATGACGTCATTTGGTTGAATTCAGCGGTTGAAGATGAAGGATGGCATGAACTGGGAACGGGACATGTATCACATGTTCATCATTCTCTCTCGTCTTACAAGATTAAATAAAATGTATCAATTATTTTGTGTGTAATCATTTTCTTTGGCTTTGTTTTGGCTCACGTGCCTCATCTATGTCGAATTATTGTGGAGATCGAGATCAATACCCAAGTAGATCTTGAGTTACATACTACACAGGAAATAGGTTGTCTGAGAAAATATGACATCTAAAACAGTCCCGTTATCACATGGGATAGAAGAATAAGTGAGTTTCTCTTTTTGAGATGTGAAGTTTATTTGAACGTTGTTGAGACTTTGAGACTAGTATATATATGACCTATAGAGACTGTAACGCCTTCCTGGAAGGACGCTACGCCTAGAACGGTTCAGCACTAATTACACTTACTAACGCAAGGGTTTCGTTCCCCAGACAGCTTTTTGACAGCTTTTTTTGACAGCTTTCGACCCTGACGGGTTTTATTCCCCAGAGAAGCTTAATTTCGACCCTATGGAGCGACAGGTTGACAGGTTTCGACCCTATTTCGACCCTATTTCCCCAGAGAAGCTGACAGGTTTTACAGCTTTCGACCCTATTCCCCAGAGAATCTGACAGGTTTTAAGATAATTCCCGAGAAGAAACGACCCTATTTTAAGATAATTTCCACAATTTTAAAGATAGAAACCTAGAATTTTAAAGATAATGTGACAAAAGCATCAAGGTTAGGTTAGGTTAGGTCAGGTTCCATTATCTTTAAAAAAGCTCATTAGTGAAACTTGACCGGACTGGACCTAACCCTGATGCTTTGTCACTATATTAAAGATAATCGAAAATTATCTTAGACGTGTTTTTGCGTTTTTAAAGATAATCATTATCTTAGAAATAAAATGAACCTGTCAGGTAAATTTCGATACCGACCCTATGCCTACAGGTTCTTAACAAATCCCTATGGAAATAATTGAATAGCACATCACTGACCTCCTGACGTACTGAGCTCTAGGCTTAACAGGAGGTTCAATAATTTTATACTTATCAAGTTTCTTCGTTTAATATTGAAGGAACTGAACAGTTGCAATAATTGAATATATCAGAAAAAACACGAAAAATGAATACATAATACAAACTTTAGCACGGTTATGACAAATGTAAGAGAATCTCGAAAATACACCAGAAAATACACAAAAAGCTTATGAACTAGGAACACTGATCGAACAGGTAAAGCGCCCCTGGTCGCGGACGGATTAAAAGTGGCCGGCGGAGATACGTGTGGGTACTTAAATTGCTTACGCTAGCAAGTGTTGCCATATGGGCATTTCGCACTACATAATCGCTAAATTAATGAGCTGCGGCTACAAAGACCATTGAATTTGATGAATGGGTTTCCTTATATCTATATGTCTGCTACCAAAAGCTTTAAGTTACAAACAATATCCTCGATCAAGTACCTAAAAATGTGATTAGGTTGAAAAACAGTGCGTATTTTCAGGGGGGAAGAATTATTAAATTATTTATTAAAGGTTTAACATGTTTAAGTACAGCTGGAACTGAACAATGTCCATGACGCGCGCGGTTACGTCATTGCAGCTTTCCTATACTCTCTATCAATTTGATTATTAGAAATAAATTAAAGAAAATGTTTAAAGAAAATTAGTCACTGAATAAAAAAAATGACTTAAAGTTTAATTATTGAAATGTGGCTAGAACAGCGGCATAGATGACATATATTCCTAAGCAATAATGAAATTAAGGTAGATCTAAGATAGATTTTTCTGCTACTGCTCTATGCAATCGGGATCCGATCAACGCTTCAAGCGGCCTGGATTGAATATTTTAACCTAATATAGTTACTATCTCAATCGATTTGACGATAGATACTTTTTCGGTAGATATTATTTTCCAAATTTTGAAGACGAGTTTTAAATTAGCAATTTTTCCCATCTCAGAGATAGGGCTGGAGACCTTATAGTTAGATGAATCTAACAATAAATGCATGAAACAACGTACGGAGATGAAAGACCGCCAGAGATTCACAAAAATCGCAACAAATGAGGTGCTGAATGGAAATTTAGGTTGACAATGAAGAGATAATAAAGTAAGACGCTCTTTGTATTTTATGAGGCAGAAGGACCGTGAAGTGAAGGAGCGGCAGCGCTGCCCATGTTGTCAGAGCTGACTGTGCATGGTAGTCAGGTAGTCAGAGCTACGCATGGTACAGTCAGGTAGTCAGTGCTGCGCATGGTAACTGCTATTGGTACAGTCATGCTGTCCTGCTACCTTTATCATAGAAATGAACTCCTGAGCGTCCAACAGACATTCTAGTAAGAATAAACAGCGATGGCCAGGCGACATGATTAATTTGGTGAGCAGTCTTTTGCTACGGAGAAAATGTCAATAAGAAACTCATGGCTTTTGCGTTTAATGACCATTTCCTAAAAATTAATCATTACCATATAGGTATAATAGGTTTCAGTAAATTTTGCAACAGATTAACCAGCATTGCGAATTTGCATGTATTTGCTTTTCAATTGAGAAGGTTTAAGAGAAACGTACGAGTTATACGTTTCGTTTCCAGCAAAATATATATTTTCAAGAAGGATAAATTGCGCTGAAATGATCACTTGCGTGTTGCAGCGACTATGCGTGAAAGTTTAAACAATTTCCAGTCTTTTGTATAATGCGTTCACCGCGGGACAGCTCAGACAATAACTATTGTATAGATTAGACGTAGACCTGAGGGAAGGCTGCGGTGTCGAAAATTTACCAGTCCAGTTTTCGTAACTTTAGGGGTATTTTAAGGTAGGTATCTACAGTGTGAATATAGCATTTTTATATGAGCTATAATAATACCTTTTTTCTGGAGTGAAACTAAATGCAAAAATGCTGTGGCTATGGAGGGTTTGAATTTCGCAAGGAATAAAGATCCTATAGTTTAACATGGCGTGCAAATGAGTGCCAAGGTTTCCACCCCGCATGACAGTATACCACTGAACGACAAGGATTTATTTAAGGGACTAAATGTGCATTGAAATATTCTGCGCTGTTTGATCAATTCAGTAAATGTTGTTATAATGATACGATGCTGTGATCTAATAGCAGCGGTTTGACATGATTCAAATTTTATTATTTGAATTTAATGATAAATAACTTTAATTACTACTGTAGTGTAAACAAATGTAATTTTAAACTCACATGGTTGGTAAGCTGCTTGAGAAAGATTTTTAAATATTATATATTTCACTCTGCTGGGCGTTGTTAAGCATGTTGGAAGCATGCAAAACACCAATGCATTGAGAAAAAATATAACTCAGTACTCACTGCAGTGAGTGACAGAGAGCGCATTTTCTCGTTGAAGAAAACGTGAAGTCACGGACGGACAGACAGACGGACAGACGGACACGGCGAGCACAATAGTGCATTTTTCCATAAATGAGAAAATGCTCTAAAAAGGCATTGAAATCATCGAGTTTCTAAGGAATTGTCTCACGCTCGTAGAATAACTACTCAAACCTGACCACGGACACTGTATGCAAGTTGTTGCTACACTTCGGTTTGAGTAATTTTTGCGCCGAGATTCTTAGTAACGTGGAACATGAACTTAAAATCAGCTTTTTGCGTTTGCTGCATAAAGCATTACGACACTTAAGTGTAGAAATACTCTAGTTGTCTCGTACGAATATCGTGATTTGCAGCTTTTGCATGTAATTAGAAGCATTAATAGCAGCTATGCGCCTGGGTTGTGGCTCGTTGGGTTATATAAGTGACAACTTGGTCACTTGAGACATCATTCACTTGGTGGAGTTACACCTGTTGAATTCAAGAGACAAAATGTTCGTCAAGCTGGTGAGTGAAGAAAAATTCATCAGGGCAGCAGCTTAAATAAATTAAATTTTAATGTTAGTAAAATTATTCGCATTCAGTCGGTAATTAGCAGAATAATTAGGTCGCTAAATTATCAAGTTATTTCTTAATCCTCTCTGAATGTTTTCGTTAAATTAAATTCATTGGAATGCTTGTTAACGACTAAGAAATATTGAATAATTAGAAGCAAAATGTTGTTAAATACCAGTTTTCAAGTTTTCATTTCGTCCATAAAAATTAAATTAGATTCATATACGACACTAATGCAAATGATGGAAATCAAAATAAGCTAACATAACAAATAGGAAGCAAAAATTTTAAGGAGATGAAAAATGATTATTTGCAATATGTAGAATTTTATTATTTGAAATCAGCTTTGAAATAAATTGCCACATTCGATGTAATGATAACACCCGAATATATCGTTGGCAATTTTCAATAATATTTCCTACGTATAAACAAAACTATTGAAATATTTTCCATTTATTTTGCAGTTCGTGAGCGCCGTGCTGCTGGCTATCCTAGCCGTACTGCCTGCCTCGGCATCTCCTGGATACTTCGGTGGCGGAGGCTTCGGTGGGCGCGGTGGATATGGAGGAGGTGGTGGATACGGTGGTGGTGGATTCGGTGGTGGTTATGGTGGTCGCCTGGGTGGAGGTGGTGGAACGCTTGCTATCGCTTCGGGACTCACTCGAGGATTCGTAGGAGGACATGGTGAGTTAGTAACTCTTCATTCAAAATTTTGCGCATTTTACTTAATCGGAAAAGTCTCTTTGTGGTGATGGTTGACCAAATTTTCCGTAACTAAATTCAACAATAGGTAATGCAAGTGAAACAAGCCTATTTTGAAATTCGCGTGGCCGAATCTCCTCCAGTGCTCCGAAGTAAAACACGAAAAGACTAACAACTTGCGTGTCGGAAATAACCGAAATGTTCGGCAAATTTTAATTGTATTGATTGAATGGGATGGATGGTGTAGTTTTGAATACGGGTAATATTCGCTTCATGAAAGTAATAGTTTTTCCCTAACGTAGCTTGACCGACTATGGAAACGAGGTAAAAGCAATCTTCTTTCTTGTTAAATTTAAACATTCTAACAATTCAGGCATGCATCAATTAGAAAAATTAATGGGGGATATTGTCTACATAAAGACAGATTATTTCAGGCAAGCATTAATCAGAAAAATTAATGGTGCATATTGTCTAAATATTGACAGATTATTTCAGGCAAGCATCAATCAGAAAAATTAATGGGCATATTGTCTACATAATGACAGATTATTTCAGGCAAGCATCAATCAGAAAAATTAATGGGCATATTGTCTAAATAGTGACAGATTTAGTCGGAGCTGTGTGTGTGTACAGCCATGCTACGCCTTGTTACCGAATCAAACTGTGTCAGGATGACTCACTCAGGGCCATACATGTGGCGATATTTGAGCAAAGTCCCACATATTTCTTTGAGGGATGAAATAACCTTGTAATAACCTGTTAATTTATAATAATAAAGTCTGTTGATTTACTGTCGCTGATAGCATTTAAACTAACGAAAATTAAATTTTACTCCTCAGGATACGGCAAATAAAATTTTTTCACGAGCCCGCACCTCTCAACGCTGCCGAAATGTCTTCTCATAATAAAAGGATGCCAGAAATTGGTTGAATTGTGTGATGAAAATGAAGGATGTCATGGATGAAAATTTGAGAAATATATCCCAAATTCAACATCCTGGCTCGTCTGCAAAGATTAAATACAATTAATTTTTTTGTGAAATCATTCTCTTTGATTTTTATTGTGGCTCTCGTGACTCTATATACATGTCGAGTAATTATGCATGGAGATTAAGATTTATACTTTAATTAGTAGATAGTGAGTTAGCAGGAAACTCGCTTGCGACGAAAAGATGACATCTGAGCTAAAAACAACTGATGTTGTCCTTTCGAGGATTGAAATTTATTTGAACGTTGCTGAGACTTGGATGACCTCTTGCGATTGATTAATTTTAAAGTTTATTTGAACGTTGCTGACTTTTAAGACCTCATATGACTACTTAATTTCAAGTGAGGATCAACCCTAAAATAGATGGAAATTATCAGAAAAATAAAAAAAAACATCCGATTTCCTGATAATTGTTTGAATTATCAGGAAATTGAATTGGCATCCGAACTGTGATTAGGATAAAACAGAAAATTCATCCATGCGGTGGCAAGAATAATTCACTCTCACAATGAGGTTTTCGAAACTAAATAGTTTTCCTGACAGTACAGCACAGTATAGGTGCTGCAAATTTCCATTATTTCTCCCTCATATATCATTGTAGCTTTCTCATATGTAATTAGTTTGAATATTAGAAATTTATAGCATCTTCAATGGTAAATAGTCACAGAATAAAACTGAAGATATGAAATTGAATTGTCACAAAAAATGTGGCCAGAACATTTGTTCCACAGCAATAGCTAAAATGCAGTTGATCTTGAGATAAATTTTGCAGCTGCTATATGTACGTATGTAGTCTATGTGATCGCGGTCCGATATTCAACGCTCCGAAAGGCCGTGATAGGAAAAAAACTTAATATAACAGATATCTCAATTGATTTCATAAAAGAAATTTTTTTATATACATCCCTGATTTTTATATGAGTTAAATTTAATATTTTTACACTCAGCGATGAGGCGAATACTTAATTACACGAATAAGATTCATGACATTTGTTTGCTGGAATCGGAAGTTAACTAGAGATTTAAAAGTAAAGAAGATTCCACAAAATTTCGTCATATCCTTGTAGAAAATGTTACGAAGTCCATTTCCATCGTCAGTTCGAATATTCTAGAATGGAGATAAAATCACAAGTTAATACAATTAAGAGTCACGAAAACGAAATTAAAATCTAAATTTACAAATGAAAGACATACATATCTTACGAAAAAAATAGCGAAACCTATCTATAACAAGCTCATGGGGATATGAGCTTAATTAAAGCTGAATCGGCAGATCTGAATTAAGTACCGGTTTTCTTCATAAAACTAAACTCATGAGCGTCTAAGCAAAAGCACTGCAGACAGAAAGAAGCGATATATATTATTAGCCTAGGCCTTGCGGAATGGGCAAGTTCGTAAAAATGTCAATAAGAAAATGGCATTTGCGTTGAGTGGCCATTCCCTGAAAATGGTTCATTAATATCTAAAGATAATTAGTTAAAATAAATTTTGTGACATGTTAAAAAGTACTGAGAATTTGCATACATTTCCCTCTAATATGAGTAAGTTTAACAAACACGTATAATTAATACGTTTGCTTTGAAATTCTTCTTATTTCTAGCATATAATAAATTCATATATCACATGAAATACTATATAATATTCAGATGTTCTAAAAAGGAATTAGTTGTGTAGACGTGATAATTTTCGCGTTGTGGTGACCTTAAGTGATTTAAGCGATTTCCAGTATTTGATATTATGCATTCACCAAGCGACATCTTGAACAATGACTGTTGTAATTACAATATTAGTAAACTCCACAGTATCAAATTTCTCAACATTTACCTATAGTGGAGTTATATTAATACCGTTTACCTGAAGTGAAACTATATGCCAAATTCTATAGTGGCTTTCGAGGATTTGAATTTCACAAGGAATAAAGGTCCTAGTTTAACGTGACGTGCAAATGAGTGCCAAGGTTTCCAACCCGCATGACAAGCGCCACGTACTGAACGACAAGGATTTATTCTAGGGACTAAATGTGCATTGAAATATTCTGCGCTGGTTGATCAGTTCAGTAACTGTTGTTACAATGATAAGATAAGATGCTATGATCTAATATAGCCGCGGTTTGATACGATTCAAATTTTATTCTTCGAATTTAATGAAAATAACTTTCATTCCTAGTGTAAACAAATGAAATTCCAAACTCACATGGTTGGTAAGCTGCTTGTAGAACTCATGAGACAAAAGGCGGCTTCCGTGAACGATCATGAACAAATTCAAGGGCACAAATTGGGGTGGAACATTTCAGCAACTCACTCCGTCCTTGACATTAGATATCCAGGTATTCAGGCCACCAAAACCGCTCGGTGGGACCTGTATTCTGTATATCAGCTGAAAGAACTGATTTCCAGGCCCTTCAACAAACAAAGTGAAAGTTCACACTCTGTATTGAAAAGAATTACCTCGACAAGTTTGGCTTAGCAAAGCATTGAGCTCGGTACTGCAGACAGCAGCTAAGTCAGGGATTACAATAGAAGGCGTATGAAAAGAACTGTAACACATTTGTCCAAGCGACATGCACTAGCAAATTAGAGGGCTGAGACTTTGAATGATAAGAAAATTAACATTGAATTTCCAGAGTCCTTTCATACCTTGAAGGTATCAGTTTGTAAGTCAAGGATTTTGAGTGAAGGCTGCTTGATGTCGTTGGTATATAATGGGCTAGTTCATGTTGAGGTGCACACAACTCATCGCTCCCTCAATCTGTCAGCTCCAAGCTACCAACCGATCAATTAACTTACTTCAGCATGGCTGCGAAAATGGTGAGTGGTCTTAAATATTTCGTTCTCAATTTAGTGATCTCAGACTTGAAATGTTTTACTTTCTCAAAGAAAGATTGCTTATACAATATCTAAGTAAAGCTATAATAATAATTTGGAGCTGCGTTAATCAACTGCATATGTAGTTCAAATAATAAATTATAAATTATAAAATAATTTTAAAATTAAAAAATAATTTTTAAATCATATAAGAATGGTAAAATATAAAATAAAATAATTATTCAATAATGCCATTTCTGCTCTTCCTGAAGATCATCGTTGCTGCCGCACTGGCGATTATCCTGCAAGCCTGCGCTGCCGCGCCCAAAATCGGACACTTCGGCGGCCACGGACTCGGCTTAGGCTTGGGCTTCGACAAAGGCTTCGGTGGATCTTATGGCGGCGGTTATGGTGGATATGGGGGAATCCAAGCCGGCTATGGAGGATACAAGGAATCATACGGAGGATTCGGAGGTCTGCAGAAAGGATTCGGCGGGTATCATGGTGGTATTGGATCTTACGGAGCTGGAGGCTACGGTGCCGGTGGATTTGGCGGTGGCATTGGAGCTGGGATTGGAGCTGGTTATGGATTAGGAGGATATCACGGATTAGGAGGTAAGTCAACATTAGTTTCGAGTCAGAATAGTTTCGATATCTTCCTGGAATAAAATGTTACCAAGTCTTATGAAAGAACAAAGTATAAAAGATAAACTTTTTATAAAACATAGGAAAGTTTTTTTTATATACTGAAGAAATTGGATTTTAAAATGTTAAAAAATAAATTTATGTCAATTTGTGAAGTTTGTGAAGTAACACGAAGCATAGAATTTGGATTAGTTGGCTCCCCAATTTCTTATGTTAGCACTACGGGAATACAACAAAGTAAAGTTTTTTATTTGATTGTTTATTTGTCGCAAAATTTTCTAAATGGATTATCGGGCAAGATAACTGCAATAACCTTCAATATTTCAGGAATATTAAGTTAGGAAGACTACGTATTTCCTAATTCTTGCCAGGCAATACTTCGGACCGACATGATATGAGAGACTGTCCAACATTGGTCATAATTATGAATCAGACTAATTTGTATTTTTCTCCCTACAGTGTACTAAAAATGCAACTTCATCCGTTCATCCGTCAAGCATCTTTACCGTCTTCGTCGTCCTGACATCTCGGCCGCAATTAGAAGGTCGTCATGGCCAGCGGTTTTATTTATATGCACTTTAAATATCAATGATTGTCATCTGCTATAATGATTGTTTCTCTGCCCTATGGAAATTTCTGAATAAATATATACTTTTTCTCGCTAAGTGTGTTTTACTCCTGCCCTTCTGGCGTTTCAAATATGCTGGAAATCATATTATAATATTTATTGTCTCCGTGGAACAAATTAAGATAAATATTACTATAATGTGTGGGTGCCACAGAGAACAGTAAGTATAGCCAATATTAAATAGCTTCTAAACTGGGCGCCAATTACGGTACGCCATAAAAAGAAAACTATTTGGCCCCATTGATTTATTTTAATCAGATTACTTTGATAACAACAGAAGCAAATTGGCTTTCTGGAGTGAGTTTACAACAACGGTAAATTAGATTGTAGTTTACAGCCGATGTAAATATTGGTTAATTGAAAATAACCCCAGCCAAGTCAAGAAACAATCAAACAAAACCAGAAGAGAATAAGCACCACAGGAGACTGTTAGATACGCCGTGCATAAAGCACGAGTGCGCAGCGGCAGGTTGCAATCTAACCTGGTCGTGCAGCTGTGAACAAACATCAGCCGACGAGAAGTCGTTGCTTAGAGATGCGTGCTGTTAGAGTGCTCGTAAATTCCCGCTTCCCTATCTGTTTTCTGGGCAAATTTTGACACAGCACAATATTGCGAGAATATTGCAGCAGACTTTGCCTCCGCCATTACCATCGCAAATCGGTAAATAAATCTTGATGGTGTTTAATCTGGTCCGGCCTGAGTGGAAGGATGGACGAGCGGTGCAGCGGACAAACTCCCCGCACATCACTCCTTACTTCGGCTCTAACGCACGACAAATGCAAATGTGGTCTGCGATCGACCTCACCAGTGCTTCGGGTCAAGCGGCTATCTTCCTTCACCCTAAACATGTCAACACTTTTCAAATCAAGTTTCAAACAATCCGGACTAATTTCCGCATTTATATCGTTAAAAAATGAACTGCGCTGATTAGGATCTCGATTTATAATGGTTGAGGTTGAAAATCAATCACATCTCCTTACATCATATGTGCTCTTTCTTACCTGTCGGTTTAATTGTAAAAATGTATTTTTTCATGCTAATTTGCCTGATGGTATTGATGGCAGCTAAGCCGAATAATAGCGCTTCGATTCTTCGATTAACGCAATGGTTTGTCGATTTTTGGATATACTCAAATAATCTCACAAATACAAAGTCGTTAAAATGTGTACTGAGGTCGTCAAGGTTCGGCCTACGTTTTTGAAAAAAGATAGTTGGAATAAAATCATTATAAATTGATTCACCAGTGGATAGGAGAGGATTGTGTTGGTTGTAATATGCTTACGTTGATGAACTCTCACATTTTGTTGCAACGTATATCGCTAAGTACTTTCAATGCTCGCTGAAGACAAGAGAAAAAATTGAATTTTTAAAATAGATTAACCATTATTATTTTATTCCAACGCAATTCAAGTCTAACTCTAAGGAAGTGAAGTATATGCACGCATTTGAGATTTTCTTTCTAGAATAAGCTTATTACAAATTCGAAAGTCTTCAAGTTTTGGCCAGCATGTCCTTAATGACAATAAATTGTTTTTACTAAGCTGGAGAATCGCTTCCATCTGAAGCGTCTCAAATTATGCACGCATGATAATAAGGATGCTGATAATAAATTTCAAGAAATCGTGATTGCCGTTCATGTCAAGGCAAATCCCTGTCAAAACTTGCCTATCTAACGGACGGCTTTACATTTAAGAGATATTTTAGCGCCTCTTTAAAGTAGAAGACTTGATTGCCGCTGAACTTAAGATCGGACCTTTGCAATGGCACGCTCACTTTGAGATTTCCCTGTTTGTCTTATTAGAGAAATGATGTTAAATTAAAGAAATAGCATCTTATTCGCCATAACTTCCTTATGTACGACATAACACGGAGCCGTAAAGCAAACAATTGATGTCTGGAGTTGCTGCTGTAGCCAGGCAAGACTCTTTCGAATTAAGCCATCGCCAGAGCTTGAGGGGTAGCAGGCCCATGTACCTGGCATATATAAATGCAAACATGCATGTTACGGGGACATTCTTGTCGGGCGGTCCCTTGTTAATCCAATATGTCGTCCCGGTAAGCAACCTTTTATTTCCTCATGAAATTTAGCCTACATAGCTGAGGGCCTCGTAAGAATAAGATACATCAGACTGATATAGAGAGAGCTGCGCAGGCACCCGCGAGATAGAATCTGATGAGCCAATTGATTGGATTAGATACTGAACGAGGATTGAATTGAGGTTTCGATTTTTTAAATGAGAATAATCAGGATTAAACAATGAGAGCAAATTTAATATAAATAAGAAGCCATATAAGAATGATTGCCATGATTTAAGGCTTACATCACATTTTAGATGTATTCCATTCACTCGCATGGAATTCAATTAAAATAAATTCAATTGATTATTTGATATATGATTCAAATGTTGAGCTCCAATTACCATTAATTTTTATTAGTTTTCTTAAGCGTATTTTCCTGCTTTACTAAGACTTTTTTTAGAAAGCTTTATACATACTTTAGAAAGCGTGTTTGGTGTTTGATAAAAAAGCTATCGAAATTTATTTTATTAACAAGCTTGCACTGCAGAAAATTGTAGCGGGGAATACGTCTGCCGTAATAAAGTGAGACCAAAATAAGTTTGCAATGTCTTCTGGCTATGAATTAGTGATTAATAGCGATCTTCTAAATTTGAATTTTCTTGCTCTCAGCAAGTCATTTAATCAACTGACACACAAGTCATTTAACAAACTGACATGACAAGCAACTTATATACTCCTAATAAGAATCCAATCGATTTTTGCGGCCAAATGTATCTAATGAAAGATAAAAATACTGCATTAGCGTCATATGCTATGCTAATCGTGTTTAATTCCTTTTAAAAACTGATTTGTAAAGAAGATGTTGAATTACTATGAATAAATTACAATGCTTGCATCAGTAGCAGCTTTCACTGAATATTGCTGCGCATGTTGCGTCGTAAGCATGTTGGTTCTTCCCAAAACAATAAAGGACTTATCAAGCATAGCAATCTCGTGTTCGGGACTCGGGACAAAGTAGCGTCCGAAATGCTTATCAGTTTTGGCATTGGCCCTCTCAGTGGGAGGGACAAAGGCAATCAAAGAAGCACTCTCCTAAATACACTGGGTCCGAGACAACGGCAAATCGGCAATAAACAATGCCATATTTTGTCTAGGAAATAATGTTTGCCGATCTGGTTAAGCTCTCAATGCTTTGCTTTGGCCGCGAGGTAGGTTTGGCGGGGCACAATACGTGATACATCACCACCATATAGGCCAATAAATTCCATTATACAAGCTTGCATCAGCTTTTGAGGAGGCAGTGCGATGGTCATCGGCATCGAGGGTTTTTCACCGTCCTTTGCTGCGCAGCAAGCTAATGGATCCTTTGAACTCGGGCAATTAATATTACTCAAGCCACTATTACTGCGTGCGGCATAAGTAAGCTTGTTTAATATACTAAATTTAAATCATTTAAATTGGATATTGAAAAACCCTCGCGAGTGTTTACCATATAAAAATAAATTGCTCAGCGAAAAGAATTGTATATTCACACTATATGTCATAAAGAATAAGCGTTTGACTACAGAAAATAAAGAGATAGCAGATTCATCATGCAAATGTTTGTAAAAATTAAATAAACGCTAATAGCTCTCAGCATTACGAGAAAAAAACGTTGGTGAATAGATAAAAATCTACGATCTCTTTGTCATCACGGTTCCAAATATTCTTGTTAGCTCGAACATAGAGCCAAAATTTTGTTTCAAGATTGAAATTTTTGCAATGGAGTTTTTTTTTCAGCTAAATGTTGGTACGATGTATTGCGAGGCTCAAGATTATAAATAATTTTAGGTACCTATTTTTTATACATTAAGCTTTTTTAGCGCATTTTATCATTTATAGAAAATATGCACTATTGTGCTCGCCATGTCCGTCCGTCTGTCTGTCCGTCTGTCCTTCTGTCCGTCTGTCTGTCCGTCTGTGATTTCACGTTTTCGTCGACGAGAAAATGCGCTCTCTGTCATTCACTGCAGTGGGTACTGAGTTATATTTTTTATTTTTATACCCACTTTTTAGAGCACATTTCCTCGCAATTATGCGTTTAAACAACACACGGCAACATAAACTGCAATACATCAATAATCGGTCATTGGAGGCAATACAGCAGTGGAGGCCGTGAAATAAATGATAATGGAATTTGTTGTGTGTAACCATCATTCACACAGCATGTGAATATCTCTGCATTATTTTCCATGGCTATATTAAATTACCACTTCTAAATGTTATATTATATAACGCAATGGCTATAGCTACCTAAATCAAAAGAGAATTTCCTAGAAGCTTAAAATTCTTCTACTAATTCCCATTGTAATTTGATCTTCTCCCGCGTGTTTCGGATATCATTGGCTGCAGGTATTTCTCAGGAGATTGTGCTCTGAATAGTGTACACCGAAAACTTTAAGACAATCTTTAGAGTTGTGAATCTAATTTTCTGGATGTTTTGTAATATAAAAGTTCATTTGGCTCCTCGTTAGTATATTAATTATAAATTCCTCTAATTTTTCACAGATAGAAACCAAATCAATGAAGAATGCCTTGAAGCCCAAATAAAAATGTCGGAGCATCGATGAATTATTGGTGGCTATAGGTGGAAATTATTGGTGGAGCACAGATGGCACATCGCTGTGGCATCGATGATGTGACACACCTATGTTCCACCTATAACCTACCGATGGCCACATTAACAGAAAAACTCTTCTTCCACCAATAACTATCTATTGGCACCTAGAACACTCTCGTGGCAGTGAATTATTATGATTTGTATCAGTATCCTGGCAAGAATATTCTTCTACCGTCACAATTCAGGTAGCTCATATAAAGAACATTTGAAGTAGTTGAATCAAACTTCGTTAAACTAAAACTTGAATATATGTATTCATGAAATGCACGCATAGATTTCATGAGTTAGGACCTTCAAAGATATTTAAAAAATGTTGCTTCTCAGTTTTGGAGACAAAGCAGTCTTGAGATTTCGG